TGAATTATGTAAACCATAAGACGCAGGGACTTGGAGGCCTATTTATAGACCTGTTCTGTGAGGGACTTGTTGTAGGAGTACTTAAGTCCTAAGTCCACTACTGTATGTAACTTTGATAAGACCTCACAATTTATGATAAGATCTAAGTTGAGTGATGTATTACCGGAGCACACCTATGCACCTTTAGCCGCGTTAAACTACAGCTACCATATTGAGCACCACTGAACTACCTTATTGAACTCCATACTGATACAATTTTGCGTATTTTTCAGCTCATTAGGAGAAAACGAATACACTATTTTAAAACCATCTGCATTTTGAGGAGGCTTACCCATATAAAAGCAACCGCAAATACCACTGATATAAACTAAAAAAAAGCAAACGACTCAAGAAACTACTTTTTATTACACCACTTTCAACCGGGACAGCATCCGACAAGGAGCAGTTAATTTGACTATTTGTTATCGGTGGCAAAGAAAGCGTTAAACCAAGTAAGATGCCAGTTTGTCCATAAGAAGCTGGTGGTTAATCATGTTGGAAGCTTTAGAAATGTCAGAGTATATGATCAAGACTAGATATGTTCGGTTATGTTGAGCAAAGATGAAATTGAAGAAGCCAAAGTGGGATGTCATGCAAGATTGCTTTTTAAGAAAGCCATGTTGAGAATCATTGATAAGCTTTTCAGTGAACAGACAGAGAGTTCGTCACTAAAGATTTTATCCATAACCTTACAGATAACTGGAGTAATATTTATGGAGCGTTAATTGTTCATGTCAGTCTTATCTCAAATTTTTAACGTGTTATGATATATGTAGTTTTCAAACAGTAAGGGTAAGTACCTGTCGCTAGAGAGAAAAAGTAAACAGCTTTAGAAGAAGTAATAGAATATCTGATCCATCGTGTCTGTAGAGAAAAATGAAATTTCGTCTACTTCATGACCGCTTGAAACTTTAAGGGAGTTTATATGTTGAATAATTCTCAGGTATGTGAAAGAGATAGATCTGATTGAGTTGCTAGTTACATACATGACTTTGAAACAGTATCATTTAGAAATTCATTATTGTTCGCCAAAAAACCACTGAAAAGGTCTGCTATAGTTTTACACTCGTATATAAAAGTGCCATCATGCAGAATGCATAGCATGTCAACATTTTGAGTTGCTTTCACGCGTTTATCGAAAAGGATAATTGAGTTTTGTATATTTGAACTAGTATTAAGTGCTAACAGCTCCTCAACAATGGCTTTTAACCCACGCATTTTCTTAACTTGGTTAAAAATTATTATAGTTGTTTATGTAACTTCCGTGAAACTGTCTGACTTAAAATAACGTTTCTTCGGGCTTCATTTATTACGATATATAGTTGGTCTAAATAATCTGCTAAGTTTACTAAACCTGTACGTTTTAAGAGGTGTGCAGGAATCTAAACAGGTTAGCGATCATATAGAATATGACAATAGCGTCCACAAAGCCATTATTTGGGAAGGTATCTCAGTCTTAGAATTTTACCAGGGAGTGCAAGATGTCCCAGTCAGCATCTCTATAATCTCTTCATTAGCGGGTTTTTGTATGGGTCGGTTATAAGAGGGAGAAATAGGCAGAGCAAGAACAATTTTATGATCACTGCTCTCAAATTCATTGTATACTTGTACAGATAGTGGGATGAAATCTCTACAATATATATATATATATATATGTAGTTTACTTTACTTAACAACTGTCAATTGTCCGAAAAAGTACTGAGACCGCAAAATAAGGCTAATTACATTATGTTTATGACGAGGTATACTGATGGCCGCAACAGTGTACAACATACAATGTGCAGATCATGTGATAAATTTGGTAGAATTCTTAAGGATATTTCAAAAACGTTCACGGTGGGCACTATATTTTACAAATGTGTTATTATTTCACAAATGAAAAGAAAAGAATGCTTGTAGCTACCCAAGATGCATTTATTAATTCAACTACTTTTGGAGAAATAAATACATTAGGGTACTGAATTTTCGAACATCCATGCTTCATATAACAGTAAATAATGGTGAATACGATCTTATTATCAGCTTCATGAAGGCAGAGCTTATAGTGTATGTTTCAGTTTTGTTAATCACAGACAAGTTGAGAGAACATAAACAGCTTTTTAATATGAATAATTATCTTGCATAATAAGGTATACAATTTTTTTTAAATAAGTTATTTACATTAGTATATGATTATGAATACTTTATTACATAAAAATAAACAAAATCCCTAATAAAAATAGTATTTTAGCCATCGCGATCGACATAGTAACTTTTATGAATCAGCAGCAAGGCATCAAGTCCGGTATGATATCCAGCTTATGTATAGATGTTTTTGATATTGTATCACTGTTTCTCTCATAAATAAAAATTTCAAAGAGTCTCAGTAATATTTAACCTAATATTTGTTAAAAACCAGATGAGTTGAAATGATATGGTTAAATGAAAAATTGTCTCTAACCTACTGAAACAAAAAATTCATTGCATCTGATATCAAATCACTTAAAGTAGTACCTAAATTAACTCCATCTGGAGAACCAGTAGGGCCTTTACCAGTCCTAAGCCTGAGTAAATGAGGACTGTTGAACTGTACGTTTGGTATTTGTATTTCGTAAAAATGAATCTATCTACAAAATTGCCAACCCGAAGAGATCAATAAGATTTTGTTTTAAAAAGCAAGGAGTCTTCAAACGAAAACAAGCAAGTAAATAAGAACTTTAGGACTGAAAGGTGAAAGTATGCGGAAGGCTTGACAGTTATAGCAGAATAAGCTGCAATGGAAGGATGTGTAGAAGAACTGTATGATACGACTAAGTTGGCAGAGAAATACAGTAGATCAGAAGAACCAGTCAAGAACAAAGAAGGAAAATTGATCGGTAAGGCTCAACAGCATCAGAACAGGGGGTAGAGGACCAGGTAGAGCTCTTGAATAAAGGAGTCTCACTAAAGCAGCGCGCATAGACTTCTTGTTAGATGTTAACCCACCAACAAAAAATGAAATTGATAGGACCTTCAGACGAATCAAGAATGACGAGACGGCAGGAACAGATAGCATACCAGTTGAAACACTGAAGTCAGATATATATCTTCTCCTGAGAAATTTTGGAGAAAGAATGATTGCCAACAAACTGGAAGAAGAGATATCTCACAAAATACCAAAGAAAAGGGGTCTTGGTGGGTTTAAAAACTACAGAAGGATCACATAACTGTTAGCACCAGTTACAATTTCAATAGACAGTTAGTGAACTGAATGAATGTTTCAGTAGACGTCCAACTTCGAGATCAAAAAGTCAGCTTTCGTAAAGGACGATCATACACCAATCAAATGGCGATAATGTGGATTATTATTGAATATTCAATTGAATGAAAGCCGTCATTAAACACCAACTTCCTTGGTTAGGATAAAGCATCTATAGAAGTAATGTTGTAAAATCGCTATTAACACCATGGAATAACTGAAAACACTGGCGCCAAAATACGGAACTCTCGTGAGGGACTGAATTACAAAGTTGTGCATGCAGGGCAGCTTACCGATACGTTCCAAGTGACCACTGATCTCAGATATGAGTGACTGCCTTCGCCTTCTCATCTTTGGCCAGCTGTTGACTGGATTACGATGACCACATTCCAGAGGAAGTGCGGTACAGTGGACGCCTTGATGGGGCTGGATGTTTCAAATTTCGCGAATGGCTTGGCTCCTTCAAAATTTACACAGCGGAAAAATATGTGCTAAAAAGTCATTGTAGTAGCGGCCGCCACAGAAGTTTGGCTCAACTTTTACAGCAGAAGAACGAGATCGTTATGCTCAACAGTACGAGCACCAACCAAGTCACATTTGATCGGGAAGCTCTGAGATAACTGGAAGCAATTACACGCCTGGACAGAGTCACTCATAAGCAAGCAGAATCTAATGAAAATATCACTAGACCAATCAACGGAAAAACAGCGACATTCCTCCAATTTAGATCTATCTGGAACTCAAAACAATTGTTCCCCATGACCACAGAATTCTCATCAGCGACGTCGAAATTGTACTATTTTATGGGGATGAAACTTGATGGGCTTCCACCACCATCAAAAGTACACTGGTATTTATGAATTTCTAACTATGAGAGATATCATAGTGAACAAAAACTCAGATGGGGAGAACCGATTTTTTATTTCATTCAAACGTACATAGGGCATTGGTGAAATATGAAAACCATACATTAAATACGTTATGTGCACATCTTTCAGTTGTCCTTTACATGTTTAATGATCCTTCCAATTCTGTTATTATTACAACTGATCACTGTTCATCTTCCTGTTTCATTCAACTTAATCTTCTGCTGACAGGCAATTCACATCCGATTACTGCCACATATTACTTATATCTGCCATCATGAGTAGCGTACACCACAATACTTGAGACCTATTGGCCAGAGACCGTCAGTAATAAATTGCTCTGGAAGACAACAAACCAGTTGTTAGCTGAGGAGGAAATTAGGAATAGACAGTGGAGGTGGAAATGACAGCTCACAAGATGAACCCTAACTTCTAATCCTCAATGCAAAAGAAAAGAGATAGAACGATGAACATTTAGCGCCCGTAATTGAAGACAGACATGTAGACCATGAATACCATTTGGTGGCAACCGGAGAGTAGATCTCAGGGCAAAGTTGGTAGTAATCCAGTGAGCAGAGTAACGAACTCAATTAAACAAATGTCAAAATTACAATTTGATCAGCAAAAGTCAATCAACATTGTGAACTAGAATCTCATCATAATAGTTCCTACCTGAGAAACAATCTATTCATAATATGTCAGAATAAATAATGATTTAAACTGTGGGGTGAAATTTTGTTGTTGAATTATGACATTTGAGCATATGTTGTTCTGAATAAAATAGTAACAGGACCGTTTGACCTACTCAATTGCAGCTAATTTTTACACCATAAAACATTATAAAGTCATTGAAATTCGCTTATCTTTTTCTATTTTAGATTTTTTTAAAATGCTTGGGAATGCGTTAAAGATTACTATCTTACTGATAGCTTGGACTAGTCACTATTCAGCCCAATTCGACTTAAAAAACTATCCTAACATACCAGGATATTATGGTGAGGATTTGTCCGAAGAACTTGTCAAATCTAAGCTAAAAGATTCAGAACTATATGATCGCTATAGAATAAGACGTCATTTTATGCCCCAACGATTTGGAAAAAGATACACAAGTAAGTATTCAATTAACATTTAAGTTAAAGAAGTATTTTTCGAAAGAACCATAACATACGTATTCAAACAGATGAATTTGATAACAAAATACCTGAATCACACATTTTAAGTGAAATAATTAAAGTTAACATGTGAAAGTGATGGTTCATAAGCTTGTTTTTATGAACCTATTAAATAGTGTTGAAAATAGCCAATTGTCTGAGCTGTGTCTTTGGTATTCAATAAGTTATCACATCTAATTTAAACATGCTATGTGGCTTATCTGTACACTGTCTGTAGCCCCAAAATATGATGATAATATGTATGGAAACATATTAACCGAATCAGTTTATTTAGAAAACTCAATACAAGCGATCAAACAGATATTATGATACGCAAGTTTTGTAAATATGTTCTGAGAAATAAGTGGTCGGTACAAACGAATAATATTATTGATTTCTACACTATTTACCACTTTTCGAAGATTCATCATCGGTTCAACTGTATGTTAATGTCATTCAACTTCACAGAACTCAGATCAATGCTACTCACTGAAGTTAGATATCTCAGACAACATTATGAACTCAAGAATCAAACATTATGCTACTACCTTATTTACTATTCGTTTAACCGACCGAATAGAGTGTTTTCATCAATGACCATTGTTTGAATTTAAAGTCGTAGACATCAATTATCCAAAATCTTGTGACGTTTCCATATAGTTTCTATTTGTACATCAAACTTAATATTTAAAATGTTTTAGTTTTTCATTTATAGTAATTTATATATCTATTAAATGGTTATCTTTATTAAAGTAAACTGATATACTTTCAGTATTTTTTAAATAAACTAATGAATACAGTCGCATTCATATTTACATTTAATTAGTAAACGAATAAAACGAATAAAAATATGTTGTGAAAATCTTTGAATGACCAAACTATAGTCATTACGAAGCCATGAAGATACTAAAATACTTTAAATATCTTACTAGTGAAATCTATGATTACACTGTTTCTTAGTTATTGTTCGATCAGCTTTAGAAGTGCCCATTCAAACACTCCATAGTAATTCGAAGTTTAGTTCTAAAAATATCAGAATTTCCTTAACAAAGAAATGAATACCATACTCGATTACGAAAGACTAGTACTGAAATCAACATAAAATCTTAACTTTACCGACATAGTTTTAGATCATTTCATGTCAGATTATGTGGGTCGGCCAATAATTCCTAATCGGTTTAGGTAAGATAGTTCTGGTGATACCAGAATCAGTTATCAAAAACTTTTCAGTACCGATTGATTATTATTCAGTACTTAATGTCAAGTTTGCGTTCACCTTAGCGGTAAATGCGTACATGTACATAACTTACTTATATACAGTTGGGGCTTGACTCGTGATGCAGTTTGAGGATTTCCACAATGTATGTCCTATCCAATTCCAACCTCTTCCCCTAATTTCCTCTTCAGCTTGAAGCTGGTTCGTCCTCTCCATTAGTAGGCTGTTGCTGATGGTGTCCGGCCAAAGGATATTGAATACCTTGCATAGACAACTATTTATAAATACTTGTGCATTTATGATGATGGTTGTATTAGTTCTTGAAGTTTCAGCTCCGTACAGTAGGACTGTCTTGACGTTCGAATTGAAAATTCTCACTTTGATATTGGTTGACAGTTACTTTGACTTCCATATGTTCTTCAACTGTAGGAATGCTGTCCTTGCTTCGCCAATGCTTCCCTATATGTCTGCATCACATCCTCCAGGTCCATCGATGACGCTACCCAGATACGTGAAAGATTACACTTCTCCCAGAGTTTCAGCATCAAGTGCGATTGGGTTGGCGTTCTCTGTGTTGTATTTGAGGATCTTGGTCTTTTCCTTGTGCGTGCTGGGACCCACTGATGCAGATGCTGTCGCTACACTAGTTTCTTCATCTGCATTTTTGGACGTCTATGAGATAGAATAACTAGATCATCTGCGAAGTCCGAATCATCTAGCTGCATCCAAGCTATCCATTGTATCCCGTGCTTCCCGTCAGATGTGGAGGTTTTCATGATCCATTCGACCACCAGAAAAAAGATGGAGGAGGAGAGTAAGCAGCGTTGTCTGCCTTTAGTCCTTAATTGTAATGCATCTATCAGCTGTCCTCGATGCACGACGATGCAGTGTAGTCCGTCGTACGAATTCCATGTGATATTGAAGATCCTCTTAAATATATCATATTGTCTAATAAGTTTCCATAAGGTCCTCCTATCAACACTATCAAGTGCTTTGTCATGGTCAAGAGAGTTTATGAACAGTGAAGAGTTTCGTTCAATTATTTGCTCAGCGATGACCAGTGGTGTTTTGATTTGGTTTGTCCACAACCTATACTTACAGAATCTGGTCTGTTGATCACGAAGCTGGAAGTCTACTGAGTCTTTCCTCCGGTTCAGCAACACACAGTTGAAAACCTTTCTGGTACTGACAGTAGTGTGATTCCTCTATATTTCGCACATTTGCTCAGACTTCCTTTCTTTTGTATCTTGATGAAGTATCCTTCTTTACAGTCCATTGGCACTTGTTCTTTCTCTCAAATCTTCCTGAACACAGCGTGGAGCATGTTCGCAGTTACTTCTATGTCTGACTTCAGTGCTTCAGGTTGTATATTGTCAGGTCCTGATGCTTTTTCACTCGACTTATCCGAAGGCCATCCCGATTTCTTCCGTCGTTGATGGAGTGAAATCTATAGAAAGGTTTGTATGTGCAGCTTCGATGCTCGGTGGATTCAATGGAGCTGACCTATTGAAGAGTTCCTCGAAGTATTCTACCCATCTGTTACTCTGTCCTTGAATGTCAATGGTTGCCTTGCCTTCTTTTTCCTTGACTGGTCTCTTTGGCTTACTATATTTCCCTGCCACTACTTCATCGTGTCATATAGGTGTTTCATATTTCCTTCTGCTGCATCTTTTTATTCTATCTTTGCTAGGTCTTCCACGTATTTCTACATGTTGGCTCTAATGGTCTTCACTCGTTTGCTTTTGTGTACTTAGATTCTGCCTTGAATTTCCCTGTTCTTGTTCCTTTGTTGTTAATTACTGTCTTTTTATTCTTCCTTTCCTGAGTGCTGCCCAGAGTTTCGATAGAGATCCGTTCCTTACGGCGACGCTTTTCAAGTCCAATCACTTCCTGACACGATGAAGTTAGCGCTTTTTTATCCTTTCCTAGTTGTCCTCCACAACAATTTTCTCTTCTTCGAACAGATGCTGTAAGGCTTGGAACCTGTTGTTGAAAGTTATACTGAATTGATTGAGTTTCTTAGTATCTTCTAGGTAGACTGTATTGAACCGTTGTAATGCTGTTCATTCAGTTGTCTAATGTTCTTTAGCATCAGTAAGGCCTTGTGCATGTATGAGATCGAGATCGTACATGCACATGCGCGCATAGTAGTGCTACAAGTTTTATTGTTTAAACATAGCTCGATCTTGCTCCTACCACAGTCTCACCGTAACTCAAGCACAATGTTGATTTCGTTACAGACTGCTAAACAATAACACAAAGGTTAGAATCCCACAGAAAGAATTAATTCCTTGAAGATTCATCATAAGTCACATGCATAATTATAGAGTTCGGAAAAACCTTGACCTAAGGATTAGAAGTGATTATCTCCCATCGGTTTGAGACAAATTACTAGTCATTAACTTTTTAATTCTTTGTTTTAGTCAGCACTATTTTCTATAAACTTTTACACTCAAACCAAAGAGATCTCTACTTTTGATGATAATGTTTATCATTTAATAGAATAATATGCATGTAAATTGTATTAAACGTGAACTTTCTTTTTAGAGTAGACGAATATGTTATTATTATTTACTTTTCGTTGATAGCACATATATATATATATATATATATATATATAAACTTATTAGTTGCGCTACGCTTGGTGGATTTTTCATGCTGTTTCATGAATAGCTAATCTCCAACTTCTGGTTTATTTACAGTATTTATTCATAAAAACCATACATACATTTGAGTGAGTGACTGAATCCATAACTTTAACTAAAGGTTTGTTGACAACCAAGAAATTACAACCCGTGAAATTTATTTTATTTTGCTCTGCTGTTTTGTTAATCTGGTTCATTATATTTTCCTAAAATATCTACTGGAGTAAACTATTGCTAACTGTTGATAATATGACCTAATAACAGTTACCAAAAGTAATACCTGCAGTTAAATCAGTCCAATTCTAAAAACTAATTAGTGCATGTTGGTTAAGCACAAATTAAAATTAATCTATAGAAAAGTAATTTTTACTGTTCAGAGAATATATGTACATTGAGCAGTCAGTACTTTTCAGTGGATTGTGACAGTATACGTCCTCTTACTAACCTGGATAAAACATTCATAACATTCATCTACGGCGTTTAAGAATAAAAGCCGATCATCAATGCTCTATAACAGTGAAAATGAAGTAAGATAGTCACACTTTTAAAAAATAGATCATTTTAATCAGCTTGTCAGTTCTAGAACAGTTACTTTTCTCCTCATCATTGTGAAGATTCTTAAGTTAACATTAAATTCCTAAACATCTAGATCAAGGTTCTTAGTGAATGATAACCCATTCATTTACATGGTTTTAATCAATCCAAACAAATTTAATAACATTTGATTATTTTAGATAAACTTTCAATATTGTTTGACATAAGTTTCTGTATTTGTAAAATGCTTTAAAGAATGTAGGAAAGTTATGGAAGAGTTGGATACATAAACCTAGTAACTATAAATACTTGATGTGATAAAGTGTTGTCGACGAAATGATCGGTATCAAAAGATTAGAAAATCATCCTAGAAAATAAAAGAGGGAATGATACACGAATTATTTGGATTATGAAAACCAGCCAATTGGTTAAAATAAATTAGAAAGATATGGTTCGAAATTTTGAAGAGATGGAACAGCAAGAATCACATATTAAGAGTATGAGAATTTTGAATCAGGTGACTGGAAATTGGAACTGACTGGTTATCAGCAGTTTCTATTCGAACATATAGATTATAGTTTAGCCTTTTGGTGGTGATAACTTCAACAATTATAATCGAGCTACTTTTGTGTATTTGTTTACTAACTGTTTCAAAGGATCCCATTATATGACTGAGTTTTTGTGCAGTTCAATAAATTTAAGCCACTTGCTCAAAAGTTCTCTGCCATCAGTGCGTATTTAAAAATAAAGATATGTGAACTATTGAAGCATTTCAAGACAGCATGGCATAAAAATATGTTCATATACATTTGTTGTTTTTATAAGTCCAGTTTTGTTTGCTGGATAATAATTACGAAATTTCTGTGGTGTTCAAAATGTCGAAAATATCTAATGAATATAAAATCGTTATGTAAACCAATTAAACAATAGTTTTTATGCCGGAAATCGTATCGTCCTTGTTAAGAAAAGTGTTTATAGTATGTTATGTTTAGTTGCAGGTTTTTAACGAATCAGAATGTGTATTGTAGACATTAATTTATTAAAATTTACAAATAATTTGGTTGATAATATTCCCTGAAACAAGGAAGAGAAGTTTTTGGGGAATTGTGTGTTGGACTTACATCACATACGAACAACGTCAACTGCACCACTACCCTTTTGATTTTTACCGATAAAAAAATAACAAACAAAAAAGAGGCTTTGAATGATCAATTTTTAGTACAAAAACCTTGTGCTCACAAAGACAGTCTTAACAGAACGTACATATGGGAAGCACGCACAAAGATTTTTGAACTCAAATCAATTGTCGTTATTTGGAAATATAGAAAGTCAGAATAATCGAAATACATATTCAAAACTATAATCGTTGATTGCAACATATTAAAGGGCTGATATACTTTATATAACAGAATTGTAGACCCGAACAGGTTAGCAGTTATTCATACTAAATTCTTTTCATGGCTATTAGAAATGTAGAACCAAAAATATTTGTTCATCGGACCAACGTCATGCATCATATATATATATATATATATATATATATATATATATATATATATATATATATATATATATATATATATATATATATATATATATATATGTAATTATCAAAGTGACTATCAGAGTAGCAGTAGTAGAAGTAGCAACAGCATCAGATGATGATGATGATGATGACGATGAAGAAGAAGGTTTCTTACAAACTACATGGCTTACGTGTTTAACTGTTAGTAAATATTTCACAACATTTTAGTTATAAAATAAAATCTCATTACATTTTCTTTTCTTAATGTTTCTTTATGACACTCTGACAAAGGATTTGTGCCACAACGTTTTGGTAAAAGACTATACGGTAAGCGTAACATTGAATCATTTAAAATCTACCATAATATATACATTTAGCGATAACATTAAAGTTTTGTTCATTGAGTTTTTTAAGTACCATTTCGTAGGTCATTTGTAGGTTAACTTTAATCAGAGAATGTTTCGAAAGAACTCAAACAAGGAAATTGAATTTTACAAGCTCTTGTTACTTAAATGTCATACTTAAACATAGTTTATTTTAATTATTGAATTCGTGAGTGACTTGAAGCTAGACAACCATGGAAAACCTGGAAGCACTGGACGGTCGTTTCATCCTACTGTTGCACTACTCAGTAGTAACCATAAACGATCCCGCTCGCGGGATTCGAACCCGGGACCTATCAGTTAATGTCTAACTATCTATGTAATTGACTTCCATTGATTGAACATTCACCAAGTACTATGCTCGCCACATAAACTGTACTTATAAAACTTAATTCCTGATGAAGGAGTAAGTGTACTGTGGAACAAAGTTTCAAATTAACAAATAATTTATAAAGGCTTTACAGCCCATTTTAATCCATTATGATACACTAACTTCCAAATTGAAAAATACTCATTCTAAGAGAAATAAATATTTAAATATTAGAAAAAAGCATCAATTGAAAAGTTTATAAGTTACAAGTGATTGTGATAGACCAATTATTTTTTTTGTAAAAGGAAACTATCTAATTACTAATCATAATTTATGTATAGAAAATTTCTAGAACATTCAATATTCATCTTTATGTTAGAAGCAGCAACAACAACAACGACAATCAACGAGATTTCATTTTATGTTTTAAACATTTCATTCCCTTTAGTCCGCTATTATGAACAACAAAAAAAGGAAACGATAGTTGAATGTCCTTAAAATCAAATGGTCTATTAAATTGTTAACTACCGTGGTGGAAACAAAAATACGTGACCTATATATATTTAGTGATCATATATGAACAGTTATGTTACCATATTCATAAATGAAATACATTAGTCATTGTTCGTTTATTATAAGTGAATGAAGACATTTATAATAAATCAAAAATTAACTAATAGAAATGAATAAAAGTGACATATTAAAATGTGTAATTTATGCTTCTGCAGGTAAATATGATAGTAATTTCATAAATTAGACAATCAGATCAAGGTTGATATTTGCAGTTATGACCTCAGTTTAACATGACTAGTTAGTTCAAAGAATAATTTTAATTTTAAAGAAATTAACCATTACAATATTTAAAGTATCTATTAAATAATTTACAAAAGGGTAGGTTAATTCCTTGCAAGTATTTTGTCTGTAATTGGATTTATTTCGATTAATATATAGCAGATTCAATAGGTGGGCATAAAAATATCAATACAAGGTTGGATATCAATTGACGAATATTCATCAACCGTAAAAAGCTGAACAGGTGTTTGGTTCAAGTTTGAGATCATTTTAATTTGTACCACAAATGCATACATGCAGTTTGTGTGTACATTGTTTGTGAATGCGGGATTAACTGTCACAAAAGTTAACTTTAAATAAATTTTTAATTACTTTCTTTTGATTCTGTTTCCTTGTAGAAATGATGAATCGGTGAATTTTCTATGTTACGTTTAACGTGCGTTCAACTAACAGTTATTGTAAAATGATAACAGACAATTGCATGTGATTCGGTTGAAATATATTTATATCTATGTATATCTCTAATTCTTATCGTAATAGAAGGTTTCAAGTAAAAAAGCATAGAGAACTGTTTGCCAACAATCCTCAAATTTACACCATTTTGGTTTGATCGTTGTTTATAATTTTGATTTATTAAAAATATCATAGTTGTAAGAACTCTGAACAATATTCAAGTATTAGTTTCCTTAGTATCATGAAGAGATAATCTATCGTTTATTTGATATGAATAACTATTCTAAATAAATTTATGAAGGAACAATGTAGGGCTAAAGAAAGAAATTAATCTCAATACATAGTGCCCACAGTGTCGAGTCACCTAGACTGGTGGCCACATTGCAACATGATCGATAGCATTCGATCTGCACTAATAAGGACTAGACAAGCATGACATTGATCACCACCCAGTGATCAATCAATTGTGATTACATCTCAGTCCTACAGGAGGTTAGTCACGGCTCGGATAGCTCAGTGGTAACGTCTCTGACTGTGAAGCTGGGTGACACGAGATCGAATCCGCCAGGGAGCACCAGTTCCCTCAAGATTACAGGTACACCTTGCTGACGAGTGCCAAGTAGCACGAAACCCGGGTCCAGGGTTTCCTGTTGACTACCTCCAACCACCATCTAAATCTCAATACATAGTGCCCGCAGTGTCGAGTCACCTAGACTGGTGGCCACATTGCAACATGATCGATAGCATTCGATCTGCACTAATAAGGACTAGACAAGCATGACATTGATCACCACCCAGTGATCAATCAATTGTGAAAGTAATTAATGTAACTTTTCTAATCGAAATTTAACAAGATGAGAAAGGTGTTTGACTGAAAAACTTTTATATCCATAAATGTTATATAACAATCGCTAAAATAAAGCATAGCTTGAATGAGCAAATTAAGTAATATTAAAATTGTGGACATTTGCATTAATGAATTTAACTAATTTGCCTAATATTTTTATATGCTATAAATCAACGTACTGTTTTACTAATTATTTTCATTTATACTAAACACTCACTTCATACAGTCTCAATCTAACGTTACCATGTTCACAAGTGCTACTATATTCATGCAGTTTCATGCCAGTTCGATCGCGTTAGAAGTTTACTATCTTCAGTCCATAAGTAAAGATTGCAACGAACACTACGTAAAATAATCAGTCAGTCACCTATTTTCTTGCGTGTTCTAAAGTACTATTGGACAAAATGCATATCTAGCAAGTGTTATAACAAGTTCAATAGGAATAAGTGCATCGATAAATACACACTTAAGCAATCAGATGAAAGAAACCATTTTTTAGATTGTCGTTCAACTCAAACAGACTACAGAATGATACGGCTAGATATAATTCGAGGAGAGATTTTTGACGCAGTTTGAAATCCTCGTATTATTTGCAACTATGTTAACTTTGAGTTCGACCTTTAAGCAGTGCGTCTTTTTGACACAAGCGTTATTGATTCTTTTAAAAGTTGAAGTTTTATATTCTTATGGATGAATTTTGGTGGAAAGCCATTTTAAAATGTTATTCTTAAAACGGGTAATTCTTCATCTACAATACGCAGAATCCATGTCCGTGCAACTTATTTGACGAATAATTCAAGCGACTCCTTTCTACTAACTGGACCACAGTTCTAGATGATTGACTACTAACCAAATTACTTAACTCTTCTAAAAAAGTACTTATCAAAAATATATACCTACTAAGTTGTTGTTTTTTAGTTTCCTAGTAAACAGAATGGTATTGATTTTCATGTTGACTTGATTTTTTGAAAACAAAGTACATTTCCTTGTTTATTAACTAATTGATTTACTTATTAAATCTTAAGGTTGTTGAACTAGTGATGCTCATTATTCTAGTCTAAAATGTAGATAAGGGTTTTTATAAAAGTCCTTTATAACTCAAAAGTAATAAGTTATGTTGAGGTTTGTTTTAATATAGTTCTTTCATCAATAAATCAAGGAATACAAATGTAGCTTTATAGTTTAGACTCATTTATTTGTTGGATTCTTCACATATTCTCTGCAAACCGAAGAATTTGTGTCAATTATTTCAAAAAATAAGAATCCATGTAATTCAAACACTTTCACAGAAACCTATCATACTGTGGTAAGTAATGACATAAATATAGGGTAATTGGAGGAGATAAATTTTAGTCATTGTAAAAGCATGTTCATAAAGTTGTTTAGTTCGGAATTAGGAGAATGAACTCGCTTGAAAGTTGATCAGTAAGACGGAAGATAAAGTTGGCAGAAACAAAATATTCCCAATGTTTCACAATTCATCTTACACTATGAATAAGCTAATTTCATGACAAGGTAAATATTATCAACATCTACACAACTGGTTGTCAACATGACAACTAGGCATTGTACTGTGAGTTATGCATAAGGTTATGTATTTCACCAAAATTCTCTGGTGTTATTTACAATTGTTTTTTAGTTAAAGCAATCCATCTACTTACAAGTAGCTCAAACATATAATAAAATATATTGAATGAAACTGCAAAACGTCAGTCTGAAAACTATGGTGTTTGCGTAAAATGTTAATTGTTTTATTAATGTACAACTTAGCACTCCTGATTACAGTACACTAGATTGAAGAGAGTTTTTAATTCATCCGCGATTATTAGAGTACGCAGGGAATAACTATAGTAATCGCTATATTCATATTACAACATATACTTCCAATCCTTAAAAATATTTTTGAAATGTAATGTAGTTGTCAATTCTTAACGATATACCCTTTTCGCTAAATAAGTTCAGATAGAGTTTAGGGAAAGGCCTATCAGTTTATGACTTTGAAGTAAATGATTTATGTGTTATTACCAGATCAGTCAGGCAATGAAATAAGTTCACGTTGTAAAGAGAAGGATTCATTTATTTTTTTTAAAAATCTAAGTTAACTAAAGAGCCTGAAAATACTCAGCATATTCCAATATCAAACATTTGAAGGGTAATAGTCAGCAGAATTTGCGAGGAGTATATTTATCGCCTAATTACACCTTAAACGTTTCACGAAATAAACTATGGTCGGGAACAGGTAGCCAAAATATAGAAAAGATTGGGAGCTAAATAAGTACGAAATAATGTTGCTGTAAATATTTGATATTGAGCTGAATGTTTCCGAAATTATGGAAACCAGTGAATATGAGCTGTAAAGAATATATATTCAAATATTGCACATAGAATATACTGCATCTTATGTGGTATTACTCATTTAGGTATTAAGGAGTTCATGAGGATCGGAGAAATAAAAAAAACTATTTTTAAGATACGTCTGCTGCATTTAAATAAAGTAACTTAACAAATCAAGGCGTACGTTTAGTGACTGGGATGAGAAAAGTCCCCCATACTTAACAGAATGTAATCCTCTTCAGGTTTCATAGATAGAATGAGTTCTTTCACCAAACATTCAATTTGCATTATAGTTTTCAATATTATTAAAACTGTAAACAAAAACGATTGACTTCACATTGCAAAATCTGGCTGTATTTGTTATAACTTGTGGGTTTGTGCCGGTATCAATGTGTTACGTAATAATACCGCCAATTGGAGAACAGTAATTTATCGACTGGACAAATGAAGCATAAAACCTGTATGAGCAGTCTAGATACTTATCGGTCCTGCTTCCTGCCTAGCCCCGCCTGTTAAGTCCAGAACACCAATCTCAGCCTCTGCGATATGAATCATGTTTTTTAATATACTGGGTTTATATACAAACCAAAAAGACCACACCTTACCATAAAATAGAAAATAGCATTTGTACAAGATTTATCCAGTTGTGGCTTTGAATGTGAGAGATAGTAATTGATAAACTGGGTATAACTGAGAAATACCAAATCGTATAATAATTCATAGGTCAAAATAGAACTTATGATCAGAGGAACACGAATATGAATATTTTTGTAACTTATCAATTATACGATAAAAGTATACGTATAGTATTTGTCCAGAAATAGATTCCGACAGTTGCCACCCATTATTCTCATCGGGATACAACAGTATTCCAGTTTAAATAGGCATAAATAACTTATTCGGAAATAAGTGTGGATTTTCTTGATCGTGTATAGAGTAAAATAAGGCGATCTTTAATAAGAGAGATAGCTAATACTTCGAATGTGTGTTGTCTCCCTAACTTTCACATGCCAATCCCAAAAATGAAATTCACAAGTAAACCCAATTGCTAAGTAATAAACGATGTTTGACTTGATAATTACAAATATACTAAACACTGGGTAGATCCTTAATAATCAAACGAATGATTTATTTGTAACATCCGAACGAGTTAAAAATTAAATTAAACAAACTATTTACTGAAAACAATACAACTGAATATTCGATAACTTGGATGATCTATAACAAACAACAGTTCTCAATTCACATATTACAATTTCCAAATGATGTACGCTGCCTTAAATCTGTCCAATTTTACGGATTATTAATTTGGATTTATAATTGTAGAACCTGATGAGAAATGATTGAAAAGAATATTCTTCGTTCATACAATTTTGTTTTAATATAATGGGAATTTTCCAGCAAGCTAATAAGTTTTATAGTTCCTATCAAATTGCAAACTGATATTTGCCTTTTTATTGGAAGCGAACACCATTATTTGAATTCGTCGAAATCCTGACTGACAAAAACATACTGGACGATTTAAAAACAGAAATATAACTTCAATAAATTTATGTTCTGACTATGTGAGAGTTACTGATAATCTCCAAGTCAAAAACCTAAATACCCATGATATCACTCTTATTAGAGAAAGGACTATATTTCAGTTAGCATAGAAAGTCACTTAGCGCTGTAGAAATTGTTCAGATTCTAGAATTATTAGTCGGACAACTGTCGGAAAAAGAGTTACATATATAAAATTGAAAACACCCCACATTTTGAAAAACAAAACTCTTTCCACATAGTATCTTTCAAGAAGGATTGAGATCTCTACATTCACTATAAAAAGACGTAAGAATTTGAATAGTTAATGCTGACGAAAGTAATACAACAACAGTCATGA